ATTTTATTTGTCTGCTTTAAAAATATTTTGGTTAAAAATAACAAAAAATATAATCTCAACAAATTATTTTTAAAGTTAAAAAAAAATTAAAGAATTCTGTAAGCTCACCCCCAGTGACATGTTTCCTCTAGCAAGGCCACACCTTCTAAGACTTCCCAAAACAGCACCACCTACTGGGGACAAAGTGTCCAAATACTTGGAGCCTATAGGGGACAGTCTCATTCAAACCATCACACAGGTTGAGTCTAGATGGGGAAAGGGAATGTGCTACTCCCCCAGGTGACTTGCATTTTTATTGAAGTTTTTGGAATTTAAGGGATTCTCTCTCGCTCTCGCTCTCTGCATATAGAGGCCAGAGGTTGACTTTAGGTTATTTTTTGAGGCAGGATCTCTCACCTCATCTGGAGCTCACTGAGTCAGCTAGGCTGTCTTATCAGAAAACTCCAGGGATCCCCTGTCTCTATCTCTCCAGACCTAGGGTTATAGATGCACCCCACTATGCCTGATTTTTATGTGGGTGGGTGATGAGAAGCTGACTGAGCCATCTCTCTAGTCCCAATTGAAGATATTAAAAATTATTATTATTATTTGGTCTCTTTGAGACAGGGTCTCCCTGTAGCCTCAGTTGACCTGAAACTCGCTATGTAGACTAGGCTGACCTTGAACTCGCAGAGATCTGCCTGCCTCTGCCTTTTGAGTCCTGGGATTAAAGATATGTGCCACCATGCCCAAAATATTTATTAATTATTATCATTTACTATTTTGGTTTATGTGTATGAATGTATTATTGCCTGCATGTGTGTAAGTGCACTGATGTCATGCAATGCCCTCAGAGGTCAGATGAGGGCATCAGATCTACTGGAACTGGAATTATGGATCATTGTTAGCCACCATGTGGGTGCTGGAAATTGAACCTGGGTCCTCAGCAAGAGCAGTCAGTGCTCTTAACAGCTGAGCCATCTCTCCAGCCTCTTATTATTATTTTATGTGTATGAGTGTATTGCCTGTATGAATGTAAGGGCACCTGTGTTGTGCAATGCCTGCAGAGGTCAGAAGAGGGTGTTGGATTCCCTGGAACTGGAGTTAGAGTGGTTATTAGCTACTATATGGGTGCTGGGATTCAAACTTGGGTCTTCTGCAAGAATAGCCAGTGCTTTTTGACCACTGAGCCATCTCTCCAGCCCCAATTTAAGATCATTTTTGGTAAATTTTTATTGAATTTTTGTGTATTTCATATAGAGCATTTTAATCATCTTTATACACTTTTCCCCAGCAGCACTCTCCCATAGCCCCAGCCTCCACACTGGATTTTATGCATTCTGTCATTTGTATTGAGGGCCTATCAAGTCAAGTTAGACATCCCTCAGTGTAAATCCAACCACTGAGGTCTAGTCAGCCTATCTAGAGTCCCTCCTTTTAAGAAGATCAGCTCTTCTTCATCCAGCAGTAATCAGCTACCAATAATTCTTCCTTCAGCTAAGATTGTCTGCTTGAATTTGCATGGGTCCTGTGCATGCTGACACCATTGCTATAGGTTCATATGAGAAGGGTCCCAGGAGCATGTAGGACTCTATTTCCATATGGTCATGTACCTTCCCCCTGGCTCTTAGCAATTTTTCTGCTCCCTCTTCCAAAATGATCCCAGAGCCCTGGGTGGGTGGATTTTAATATAGGAGTCCTGTTCAAGGACTCACACTGTGCAGACTCTTATTCTCTATGCTTTGGCCATTTGTGTCCCTTTGTGTTCATGGATGTCTGTGGCATGAGGGGGATTCATTGTTGAGAGGAGATAAATTTAAGAGATTTTTAAGGATGATTTGACTCTGTATACCTTACCCATTTGAGATGCCAACCTCTGTGTAGTTAGGTCTTGTGTCTTTGGAAGGAGGAGCTGCTTCCTGTTTGTCTCATGCCTTTGGCCATGTTTTGCCTAGAGCCCAACCCTGAGACTTGGCATACGCATCTGGTCCTCACACATCCCCTCTGCCCCATCCCAGGCTGAATTGTTCCCTTTCTGTGTTCCCAGGACTCTAGCCCTGGTGTTCTTGTGCTGTTTTGTGCTTACTTTTCTTTTGAGACAGGGTTTCACTCTGTAGCCCCAGCTAGCCCAGAACTTGCTACATAGACAAGGCTGACCTCTATTTCACAGAGGTCCACCCGCCTCTGACTCTGCTGGGATACAGGCATGTGTCATTATGCCCAGCCTCCTGTGCTTACTTTCCCACTCCCCAGAGCTGCCTGTGGAGCTGCTCCCTTCTCTCTCGGAAGTGGTTGTTGGTCAGAAGAAGCTCTGCACCCTGCTTCTGTCACTCGGGCTGTGCCATGCAACCTCCTAGGGTACACTATCTTTACTTACAACCACAATCCTCTCCTAAAACATCCTTGAGGATCAAGAGATGATGCCAACACCCTGCTCAGCCACTTCCAATATAAGTGAACCAACAACCAGAGGTAGTACTGTGAAGCGACCTTGAGTTCTGGCTAGGTGTATGGCTGAGTTGATTCCTGGTTTCACCACTTTCTTTAAAAAAATTTAATTTTATGTGTATGAGGGTTTTGCCTGTATGTAAGTGCACCCATGCATACAATGCCCATGGAGGCCAAAAGAGGGTGCTGGAGTTTCAGAAGGTTGTTAGCTGCCATGTAGGTCCTTTGCAAGAAATTGAACCAGGGTCCTCTGCAAGAGCAACCAGTGCTCTTAACCACTGCACCATCTCTCTAGTCCTCTCCCACTTTCTTCCTATGTGACTACAAGGGAATGACTTAACCTCTCTTTGTGTTTCCTCAATTATAAAGGTTGTGTGTGTATGAGAAGGCTTCTTTCAAAACTTAGAATGGTGTCTGGCATGGAGCACAACTCCGTATGTGTTAGCTAGTGGTGTGGAATAAAATGCATCAGTATGGGAACATTTGAGGACTTGTCACCTCCAGCCTGCAAAGATAACTTTATAGGTTCCAGTTCTACCTGCCCTCCTTCTGAGTTTTGCTCACCTCTGTGTGACTGTGGCAGTCTTTGGGTGTGTCACTTTGGCAAGATTCTTGTATAACTCTTCCTTCTTAAATATTCCAACCTGGAGGAAGGAGGGATGATCACAGGAAGCCAACAAACCTTACAATGCTCAGAAAAGTATGAGACTCCAGTGGCCCCTCCCTTAGAAGCAGGGACCAGCTGCTGAGAGGAGACTCTTCCTTGGATGTGCCTGCAGATTGGACAGGAGTCCCCCAGGGATGTCATTTTTTTGAGTTATGTCCTTCATTCTGGGATGGTTTTTTGGTGATTCAGTTGCTTTTGAGTCAGACCTATACGTCTGTAAGTAACCCCCATAAACTTCCTTGGTTTACATGGGTGGTGTGGTGGTTTGAATGAGAATGGGCCCATAGGCTCCAACTATTTCGACTCTTGGTCCCCAGTTCATGGCACTGTTTGTGAGGTCATGGAACCTCCTCCTAAAGAGGAGGTGTGGTTGCTGGAGGAAGCAGGTCACTGGGGGCAGGCTTTGAGAGTATATAGCTTACCCACTTCCAGTCTGGCTCTGTTTCTTGTGCCTGTTTGAAGATGTGAGCACTCAGCTTTCTGCCCCCACCACCTCTGCTGCCATGCCTCCCCTCCATGATGGACTCTAACCCTCTGGACCCATAAGCCAAATAAACTTTTCCTTCTTTAAGTTGTCTTGGTCATGGTGTTTTATCACAGCCACAGGAAAGTAACTAATATGGAAGGGTTCATTTCTTTGGTCTGTCATTGATTCCCTATCTGTAACTAATAGCTCTTTCTTCATAAATCCTCTAGCGGTCACACAGCAGCTCCCCATTTACTGAGCAGAACACTTCTAGGTTTTGCCAGGAAGATGTTTTGGTGGTGTGACTATGTCCATAATTGGTAATAAATGAGAGGGAGATTTCCCTAGCAACCCAGGATGAGCCGACTCCATTGTGGAAAGGTGTGAAAAACAGAGCTGAGGCTTCCCTGTTCTGAGCTGTTTCCTCTCAGTTGAAGCCTTCCTGGAGGGAAGACGACTCAGGAAGCAAACAAAACTTAATGATGTTCTCTGTGGGTGGTGGCTTCAGTCCATGGGTCCAGCCTTCCAGATTGCCTCCTTTGCCGATTGTCCCCCTGTGGCTGGTCTGTTCTACCCTTCCATGACTTGCTCTGCCAACCTCCATAACCACAAATGCCAATTGCGCCAGCCTCCATAATCCTTGCAGTAAGACTCGGCCCTGGTGTGTATTTTTGGGGAATCTATTACCTGGTGGGTAACAGTGTCCAACCCCTGGCAGGGGCCTGGTGTGCTCCAGATAATTTCCCCCTGAGTCAGTGCAAGGCACAAGACCGTCCAGAAGGAAGAAGGGGGCTGGAGGAAGTCATCTTAGCCACATGGCTGAGGGGAGGAGGAGGAGCAGCCTCAGGGCTCCCCTGGGGAGAGCTAAGCCTCTTCAAGAAAGAAATAGGGCTGAGATGGCTCAGTGGGGAAAGTGCTTGCTGGGTAAGTGTGAGGATAGGAGTTTGGATCCCCAGAACCCATATAAATGCTGGGTGGGCATGGCCGCTCACCTCTATCTCCAGCCTTGGAAGCCAGAGCAGACTGGCTAGCAGGACTAGCCATACTGGCAAACTCTGAGTTTGACTGAGGCACTCTGCCTCAACGAATAAGGTGGAAGAGTGATTGAAGATGAACCTCAGGCCTTCACAAAAATCCAGGATTCCCGACAACCTTGGGCATCCACATGCATACATGTACATGTGCACCCACACATACATGTGCCCTCATACATGTAAACATGAATACACACATGTGTCATACACAGGAAACAAAATGGCAGAGCTGTGACAACTGGACCTGTGCCCCAGGCTTCCCCTGACATACATCCACAGGAGAGGCCTCTGGTCCCCCCATCAATCCCCTCTGTTACTACTGCACTCTCAGAATACTTCAGTTTCTTTTAACAGCAGTTACACATTTATTTGTGTGAGACACCTGTGGAGTCCAGCCTCTAAGAGGTGGTGATAGTGCATGCCTGGGCTTGTCCATGGTGAGATGCCCCAGGTTTGGCACTGTAGAAACTCAGTCTTTACCTGTGGGATGAAGGAATAGCTGTCAGGCCTCCATGACCTGCCTTGGGGCTGGAATGCATTGGGGGTGGGGAAGGAGAGGGCCGTGTTGGGGATTTCTCCTGATGTTCTTGGCGTGACTCTGCAGGGTCATCTCAGACTAGAGGAGACAACAGGTTTGGGGACTAGGACATAAGAGTTGGCTTTTTCCATACACCCAGACTCCCAGGAAGCAGGTGGGACAGGGCTGGAGAGCCACAAATAGAGCAAGAGCTAAGACCTGGGGTCTAGCCTCATGTCCATAAAAGCCACCTTCTGGGTAGCCCTTAGGAAGCCCTCTCATCTGGGCCTCATTTTCTCCATCTGCAACATGAGAGTTAGGTGAGGTGATCCACAAAGATTCTTCCAACATAGAAGTTTGATGAGATTAAAAGGCAGAGTTCCAAGTTTAAGGGTGAAGGGTACTTTTAATTGATTCTTTTCTGGAAGCTGGGTTGGGTGAAGAGACCCACTTTCCCACTTTCCAGACTTGAATAGTTGTGGTTTGTATCATTATACATTTTTCTGAGACAGGGACTCTAGCCTAGGGTGGCCTCTAGTCTTCTATGTAGGGGAGCGTGACCGTGAACTTCTGATCCTTCTGCCTTTACTTGGTGAGTACTGGTGTGATTGTTGGAGATGAAACCCAGGGCTTTGTAAAAGCCAGGAAAGCACTATACTGACTAGTCCTCAGCCCATCTTGTCATGCAAATGTAACAACATATTTCTTTAAAGAGACTCACAGTTATTAGTATGACTTTTCCAGGGTGTGTGGGGGCACACACTTAATCCCAGGACTCCTGGGATACAGAGGCAGGTAGAGCTCTGTGAATTCAAGGCCAGCCTAGTCTACAGAGTGAATTTCAGGCAGCCAGGACTACATAGTGAGACTCTGTCTAAAAAAAAAAAGGAATATGCCAAGTAATGCAAACACTACCAATTAATTTTAGGACATTTTTATCACCCCTCAAAGAAATAATTTCCATTATTGCTTTGTTTTAACTTATGTATACTAGAAAGAGAACTTCAGTAAATACACAGATAGAAATGTTGTATTACTTTCCATAAGTAGAAAATTGCCTTACAAATCATCATAGAAATGAAACCACAAGGTTTAATTCTGCCTAGATACTGTGTCCTGCTACCCTGTAGGTCTGCTGTCTCAGTAAAAAGGTTAGCAGTAGGCTGGGGATATGGCTCAGCTGGCAGAGTGCTTGCCTGGCATACAAGAGGCCCTGTGTTCAATCCCCAGCACTGCATAAACCAGGTATGTTGGCATATATCTATAATCCCAGCACTCAGTAGGTAGAGGCATCAAAAGTTCAAGGTCATCCTGGGCTACAGAGTGGGTTTGAGGCTAGCCTGGGTTATATGAGGCCTGCCCCCCCCCGTCTCTCTCTCTCTCTCTCTCTCTCTCTCTCTCTCACACACACACACACACACACACACCACAATTAATTAGTAAGAGTCAGGGGTGAAAGAGAGTTATCCCAAAGGAGACATTTTCTCTCCTTAAGAGATTAGAAAGAGGGGCAAGAGAGATGGCTGAGCATTTGAGAGCACTTGCTGCTCATGCAGAGGACTCAGGTTCCCAGCACTGAAATGGCAGCTAACAGCCATCTGTAAGTCCAGTTCCAGGGGATATTTTGAAAAAGTTCATGTTCCAGTATCTTTGGGAGACACAAGTTTGAATAGTCTACATCACCAACCCCTTCCTTCTTTTTTCAATTGCAGAACTTTTCATTAATGTGTATTATATACCACTAAGACAATCTCTCTCTCTCTCTCTCTCTTCCCCCCCCCCCCTCTCTCTCTCTCTCACACACACACACACACACACACACCACAATTAATTAGTAAGAGTCAGGGGTGAAAGAGAGTTATCCCAAAGGAGACATTTTCTCTCCTTAAGAGATTAGAAAGAGGGGCAAGAGAGATGGCTGAGCATTTGAGAGCACTTGCTGCTCATGCAGAGGACTCAGGTTCCCAGCACTGAAATGGCAGCTAACAGCCATCTGTAAGTCCAGTTCCAGGGGATCCAACCCCTCTCTGGCCCTGCTAATGGGTTTTCTTTTGAATCTCCCACATACTGCAGCTCTGGGAGGAAGGGAGCTATTGGTGCATCGATTGGGGAAGCCAGGTGTTTTCTCTAAGATCCATAGTGATGTGTGCCATAGGCTTGCAGCCCCAGGTGCTTTTCCTCCTTCCACAGCTGCTCTTCCCCTGAAGCTCTTGTATGCACTTGCTGCTCACCTAGCCTGTGCCTCCTCCGGCTCAGGACCTGGGTTCGATTCCCAGCACCCACATGACAGCTAACAACCATTCATAACTCCAGTTCCAGGGGATTTGATGCCCTCTTCTGACCTCTTTGGGCATTGCATAACATGGGTGCACTTACATACCTGCAGGCAATATGCTCATACCCATAAAGTAAAAATAATAAATAAAATAAAATGATCCTGGTGGCAGAGACACCAGGTAGTTTCTCAGCTCAACATCAAAATGAAGGACTGAGGACCCCCTGGCCCCAGACGTGCAGAAGAACTCAGCTAAAATCCTGGGCAGCTGTAAGTGCTAGGCCCTCACTGTGGGAGACAGGCTGCTAGGAGGACAGAGACCCTCCCACTATGAGGGCTGATGGTGGCAGCTCTTTGCACCTCCCCAATAGAAATGTACCTTCTGGGGAGCCAGAGCCATGTTGCAACCAACATGGGCATTGTTGGGGGTAGGGCAAGACTCCAGCTTGGAGCTATGCTAGTGCTGGCTACTTGAGCACCTTTGGATAACTTGCTTAAGTTCTCTAGACCTGTGTGAAATGGTGAAGTGATGACAGTCATGGTACCTACACCTCAGGTCAATAGGAGTCAATGAGACCTGAGCTGGTGGCCCAGGAAAGACTCAGAGTGAGCTCTGCCAGTACCTGGGGAGGGCAGGCTGGTGGAGGAAGGGCCTGGGTAATGGCTTAGAGGCAGGGGATACCTGGCTGTTGGGGAGTCTCAAGGCACCTTGGGGAGGCTGTGCGGAGTGAGCAAGGGGACAGGAAGTGGTGGGTGAGGTCATGGCAGAGGGGTCAAGAGTCTCCTGGTATCTAGTTTCATGTGTTTATGTTATTTTTGTGTTTCACTTTGGTTATGGAAGTTGTTGCTACTACAAGGTGACCTTTTTTATTCTTTTTTCGGGGGTCTTTTTGAGACAGGGTCTCCTGTAGCCCAAGCTGGCCTGGAACTCACTATGTAGACCAGGCTGGCCTTGAACTCACTGATATTTGCCTGCCTCTGCCTCCTGAGTCCTGGAACTAAAGGTGTGTGCCAGAACACCCGGCTCAAGGTGACCTTTTAAAATAATATATGAAGGCCAGGTGTGGCAGTGTACACCTTTATCTAAGCACTCTGGAGGCGGAGGTAGGTGGATCTCTGTGAACTGGAGGTTAGCCTGGTCTACATGGCAAGTTTCAGGCCAGTCATGGCTACATAGTGAGACCTTGTCTCAAAAAATAAATCTCATCTATCTATCTATCATCTATCTATCTATCTATCTATCTATCTATCTATCTATCATCATCATCTATCTATCTATCATCATCTATCAACTATCTGTCATCTAGCTGAAACAAATCAGCTTAAGTAAACAAAGAATCCAGTGTGGCCCCCTATAGATAAACCAGCATGGTGAGGAATTGTCTCAGTGTACAAAAGCTTCCTCCCTTGCCTTGTTTATCAGTGGGTTTGGAATTTCCAGGTTGTATCCTCACCTTGAACTCCACTTCTGATCTCAGCCTTCTGAGCTCACAAGAGGTTCCTGGACCATAGAGAACACTTACCCCCAGTTTACAGATGGAGACACTGAGGCCCCAGAGGCCTTTTGCTGGCTTGGGTAAATAACTGGTCCTGGTTTCTGTTTTGATGCCCCTCTGCTTCTTCTTAAACCCAGGATTAAGACTCATGAGTACCCCAGAAATCTTCTATGGCCCCCCACAGCCCTGGTTATGTATACCTGCTGTGAATGGGAGGTTGGGGAGTATGTGTGGGGTACCTGAGGGTCACCCTGGAACCCGGCAAGGAGGGCATTCAGTCCTGCTCTGTTTTAGCAAAGGTGGCTCTGGCCAACAAAGTCAGGTGCTTAAGGTGTCCCTGGGTGTGGGCCCCAGGAGAAGAGTTCAACAGTGCTTGGGCCACCATTTCTTGGTGGACTTTTCTATCAACATCACTGTTTGTCCCATTCCTCGGGAAACTGGCTTCTGTCTGTGCCAGGGAGAAGGGGCCATGGAGGCTTCTGGTCAGGGGAGCCCAGGCTAAGCCCCTTCATCTCTGATTTTGATATCATATGTCACCTTGAGTCACATCTGCATAGGATGGTGGCGGCGCCAGCGACAGACCTCCAAGTTCCAATGGTGTGTCAGGAACAAGAGGGGTGTCATCTTTGTCCTGTAAAAGAAGGGGCACTGTGTATATGGTACAATTGCTTGTTTATAAAGTGTGTCCCACAGGCCAGTGTGTGACTCTTTCCCCTGCACTGGGCCAGAGAAGTCCACAGGAATTAGTGGGTGGGGCCTGAGTTCCACCAGTGTCTTGGTGACTGTGGGCAAATTCTCACCCTGCTGGAATCCCTGTGGTAGGCTGGGGGGAGAGGCACAATGCCCAGCAGGATATACTCTAGGGGCATGTCTGTGACATCCTGCTGTGTCCCCTCTCCTGCCTCATCCTCACCCCTCATCTGTGTCAGGGTGGCACAGCTGCCTGGCACTGTCTTCTCAGATGAAAGAGGCTCAAAAGCCTTTAGGGAAGGCCCAGCATGGTCACTTCCTGGATGAGGGTCAACAGGACATCATTTAGTCCTTTGAAACCCATTCTCCTGTTTTAGATGGGAGAGCAGAGCCCATCCCAAGGGATTGTGGAGGCAAGCTTAGCTTGTGAGGTGGGCAGGACATAGCCTTCCAAAGACATCTATGTCCCAAACCCTGGCTGGAAATCAAGGAATGGGGCTGGCCTCAAAGCTGAAAAAGGGAAGGAGGCAGGTTCTCCCTGCTGTCTCTTGGGGGACATAGCTGTCAGGAATGGTCTGAACCCATTGAGACCCATGCCAAACTGCTGACCTAGAGAAAAGCTAGCTCATACATCTGGGTAGCATGGCAGCTGGCTCAGAGCAAATGCCAAGGAACAGGACAGATTATTGCCCAAATCTGCAGTCCGTGGAGCTGGGGATATGGCTTAGTTGGTATAGTGCTTGCCTAGCATACATAAAGACCCAGGTTTCATCCCCAGTACCTCATAAACTGGGCATAGTGGTGCATGCCTGTAATCCCAGCACTCAGGAGGCAGAAGCAGCAGGATCAGAAGTTCAAGGTCATCCTGGGGTACATAGTGAGTTTGAGGCCAGCTTGACCAGTGACATGAAACCTTGTCTTAAAAAAAAAAAAAAGAAAAAGGCTGAAAGATGGCTCTGGCTGTGGACCCTGGTTTGGTTCCCAGTGCACAGATGGCAGCTAACAGTCACTTGTAACTCCAGTGCCATATGATCTAACACCCTCCTCTGGCCTCCGTGGGCATTGCATGCACATGGTTTATTTACATTCATGTAGGCAAAACACCCATACACAGAAAATAAAAAGAATAAATTTTCTTCTAATGAAAAAAAGGTGGAGGGCCCCAGCCTCTTCCTCCTCCAAATCAGGGTTGGCCTCAGAAATCTAGGACTCCTACCCCCTCTGTAGATCCTACTGGAAAAACTTCTTGCTGGATGATCAGGAATGAACTAAGTTAAGACATTTGTCTGGTGTTACATAAAACCTGAGGACCACTAACACATCTTTATGGGAGACACTAACATAAAGAAAATCAGAAATGAGCTTGAAGGATTATGTGGGATTTGTGGTATGTTTTCATAGTGTTCTAATGTCGAGACTATAACATGAATTCACAATATGGAATTTTTTTTTCTTTCAAGAAATAGGTCTTCCCGTAATCCCAGAACTTGGGAGTTGAAGCAGGAGGATTATGAGTTTGAGGCTAGCCTGGGCTAAGCAGTGAGACCTTGTTTTATAAGACAGGAAGGAAGGAAGGTAGGGAGGAAGGAACAGAAGGAGTGAGGGAGGGAGTGAGGGGAGGGAGGGAAAGAGGGAGGAAGAATGGAAGGATGGAAGGAGCCTTGAAAATCACTTTTGGTTAGAGTCATCAGGTGAAGAGAGACTAAGGAAGTCTTCTGTTTTGAAATCCAAAGCCCTTCTGTGCCATTCTGTCATTCTTGTTAACAGTCATATGGCCAAGCCATCTGTAATGGTTAATCTTGGTTGTCATCTTGATGGGATTTAGAATCACCAAACATAGCTCTGGGTGTGTCTATGGGACTGTTTCCAGAAAGGTTTAACTGAGGTTTACTGCTCACCCTGAACATGAGCAGTACCTTTCCATGGGCCAAGGTCCTAGATTGTATCAAAAGGAGAAAGGGAGCTGAGCCCCAGCATTCACCACTCTCTGCTTCCTGTGGATGCGTTGTGACTAGCCACCTCAGGCTCCTGTCACCATGAGTTCTCCAATGTGATGGACTGTATCCCTTCAAGCTGTGAGCCAAAATCAACCCACTCTTCCTTAAATTGCTTTTGTCAGGTATTTTGTCATAGCAACAAGTAACCAATACAGCCATGCCTTGGGTTGAGTGCAAACCCTTACTGACTGGGTTTAGGAGGTGGTGTGGGTCCTGTAAGCCTCAGTGTACTTGCCTGTAGAGTGGAAAGTACATACCCACCTAAAGGGATGTTGAGAAGATGAAGCAAAGCTATGCTTATCCACATAACCACAACAGATTAACAGTGCATCCCAGAGTAGCTGGTGTGTCCCGAGTGCTTAGTCTGTGACCCCGCCTGCTGTCTTCCAATTCTGAACTCTGTTGCTGCCTTCTATTCCCATGTCTTGAGGGCTTTTCTCTAGGAAAGCCTTACCTCTGCACTCAGGTCGTTCATCCTACAGGCTATGATGGCCGTGGTGCCCAGCAGGAAGATCTCCAGGAAGGTAAAGCAGAGCAGGGCCAACTCCAGCCTCTGGATATAGGCCTGCAGGGTGAAGATAGTGCCAGGATTCCTTTAGTACCTGCCCGTCACCTAGGCCTGGCAGGCAGAACCACAGCAGAGGTGGCAGGGCTTTTCTGCTCCCCTGGGAGTGTATGGGAGGGAAGCGAGGGACTCTGTGGGACTGGGACCGCCTCTGTCATTGCCCATGTCTAGTGTCTGGCATGTAGGGGGCCTGGGTGTTTCCTAAAGTGTGAGGACTGGGAAGTCTCACAGATCCCTGGGAGAACTGGAGGTAGCCCCCTAAGGATCATCTGGCCCAATTCTACTCAGCAGATGGGGATGCCTAGGCCCAGAGAGAAAGCACATTTCATAGCAGGGGAAGGAAACTGGGAGACATCTCATAAAGCCACTGACATTTGCTAGGGAAGCATGCATGTTCATGCACATGTACATGCATGCACCTGTGTGTGTCATGGCCAGGACCCTTGAAGCCTGGCCCAGAGTCACCTAACTTGCAAAAGCAGAGCCCCCTCCTGTTGCAGAGGTAGGTGTGGTGAAAGAATACTGGACTTAGAGTCACAGGCCAGGCTTTGAGCTTTCGCTACGCCCCTGACTTGCTGTGTGACCTCAGCCCACAAATTTACCCTCTCTGAATGTTAGTGTCCACTCCCACAAAATGGGGTTAGCAAAATGGATTATGCCAGTTCTGTGAGAATGTTGGATGGAGGTGCAGTGGACATCATAGTTGTAGCTATGGAATTATCAGTTCTAGGGTGTGATCTTGATTTGCAATCAACTTGATTTGTACTGTTCAGCACAAGGCAGGAACTTTTCCCTTTCTTGGCCTCAGTTTTCCTACCTATAAAAGTGGGGCTGGACATGATGACCTGGAGTGCAATTCAGTATCCTGATGCTGATCCATGAGGAGGCTGGCTATCCTTTTTCATGCCTCCATAGGGATGGGGACATATTGGTGGTGGTGGTAGGGGGGGCTGTAGCCAACCTCCTTGTGCCTTAAGGATAACAATGCTCTGCTTGCTAACAGTTAACAGGTTCCTGGCTCTTGGTTCACTAAGCATTAACAGACATCTTTGGGCTTTGTTGCTGTGGGGAAAGTTTGCTCCCAGGGTGCTGGTGGTGGGGTTTGGGGGTGGGGAGGCTGATAAGGCATCTGTTTCTAGGATGTTGGGAACAGGTTGTCATGCCCACCCCCTATTTGTGCATGTATCAAAGGAGGTCTGGTACTGGGTCAGTTGCTATAACCTTGGGTGCGATGTGCTGTTTTCTTACTGTGATGCTGGGAAAATTCCCGAGTTTTGCATTGCTTGAATACTTATCTGTGTAAACACTATGTGAATTTCAAATACTAAGTTTCCAATAAAGGCTTTCAGGTGACTCCTGATCTAATCTCAATTTCTTAGCACCCATCAAGCATGGTGTCTATAGGGTGCTCAGCTGCAGGTGCCTGGCTCTGGGAGTTTTCTAAGAGCTGGATGCTTCCTCTCAGCCAAGCTCTGTTATCTTCCTTAGAGTCTGAGGACCCATGGGTGGGGCTGGGAAACTCACTGTGGGATGGGGGTATGGACTCCAGATTGTCCATGGAAAAGGACTCTCTAGAAAGAGGTCCTTGGCAATGACAAAGAGGCCAGCCAGGGCACAGAAGAAGCTGATGAGGTTTGCCATCACACACAGCACCTTCTGCAAGTAGAGTTGAAAGGTCAGAGCTGGTGTCTAAAAGTGAGAGACCTGACTTGAGTCCTCTTCCCAGAAGCTCTGTCTGTGATCCCCAGGACACTCTCTGCCTGTCTCTGAGCCTGAGGCTGCTCACTCACCACTCTGAGCTCCTGACCATTCCCTATCTATGGGACATGCTGGGAGGACCCAGGGGCTGCCACCAGGTCTGTGCAGCTTTCAGTAAAGAAGGCTGCATCATGCCACATCTCCCCTGACCATCATACAGCATATGTGCCAATTTTCAGAGTCTCAACACCCAGATGACTTCAGTGGGAAAGACAGAAGGAGCCTAAAGGTGTCCTAATCCAGCACACCCTAGAGTCTGCCTTCCTTCTACTCATCCAGTTTCTACCCTGTCGGGAAGATCTTTTCCAGGCATCTCCTGCCTATTCTGGGTCACATATCTGCCTCTGAGCCTGCACAAGAAGTCCAAGAACAGGGGACTTGCATTCAAAAACATACCCTTAGGCTGCTGTGTGGTGAGGGTGTGAGATGACCCCTCCAGGCCAGAGTTGGTGGAGGCCAAAAGTGAATTAAGTGAGGGTGTGGGCTGGAGAAGACGGTGTGGAGCTGAGGGCTGTCTAGAAGCATCCCCAGGTCTTGGGAAAGGGTTGCAGAGCCAGGCGGTCCTCACACAGGCTGCTGGCTTGTGGGTGTGCATGGCCATGTGGTAACCAAAGTCAAAACTTGATAGATCTGCCCTGAGGAGTAATAGGCAGCTGACTGTTGCTCTGTGTGTGCGTGTGTGCGCGCGTGCGTGCGCACCAAATTTCTCAGTGTTGTAGCCAGTGGTAAGTTAAAAGACATGAAGGTAGCAGGGAGACATGGAACTTGTTTGGAAGAAGGATGGGTTTTGTGGCAGGGGACAGGAATAAGAAAATATAAAGGGTAGAGGGGCTATGATTGTATACATGCACAAAATTGCAAAAGAATAATAATTTAAAAAAAACCAATAGATTTGGGAGGGAGCTCTGATTGTTAGTTTTCATTGACAACTGGATTTAGAATCACCTAGGAGACACACCTCTGGGCATGTCTGTGAGGGCATCTACAGAGGGCATCTACTGGAGGGAAGACCTACCCTTAAGGTGATTAGTACCAGCCCATGAGTGGGGGAGTGTGCCCAGACTGAATAATAAGGAGAAAGCCCTGTGAGCACCAGCATTTATATCTGCTTCCTGATCCATACAGACGTTAGCAGGTGGCCTCCCACTCCCATTCCTGTGCTTTCCCCACAACACTGGGCTGTTTCCATCCAAACTGTAAGGCAAATAAGTCCCTTCCTTTTTAAGGAGCTTTCTGTTGGGTATTTTTGTCACATCAATGAGAAAAGCAACCAATATAGAAGCTAAGTTCTGTACTAGATGGAGGGGTGGGTGCCTGGGAGCCGTTTTCTGAAACTTCCTTGCCCTGAAAGGATAGAAGCTCTGGGTGGGGCTTCCCTTCCTCCCTGTTCAGTATCTGCATCCAGACTCTCTGCTCAGATGCCCTCTGCTGTCCTGAAGATACATGCTTGCTTCTAGCTACTCCTCCTGGGTCACTACTGCACAGATACCCTTGGAGTCACCCCATTTTGAGAGAAGATTCCAAGGTGTCAACTCACCATAGAGGACTTGGGAAATATTGTTGTTAGTGCCAAGATTCCTGAAATGAGAAACTGCAGGCCAGGTTTGACGGTCAAGGGAGAGAGAAATCGAGGTGTTTTGAGACCCACAAATTTCCCTCTCCCTCACACCTTAGACAGAGCAAGATCTGGCTTGTCAACATGCCTGTTCACAGAGACGCAAACCTCCAGACCTCACCCACATTCACAGTCAGGATCAGGGCCACCCCTCCCCTAGCCTCTTTCCCTTTCTGAGTCCTGAACTTGGAGTGGCATTGCTCCTGGTGCTGAGGTCTTGGTGTTTCTGGTACTTTAACATGTTTGCTAAGCACTTACTATGTGCCTGTCCTGGGGCATACAGGATAATGGGTACCTCATGTAGAAAGCCCCTGTCACTGCAGCACAAACTCAGAGCTGGGGCAGTGGGGGTAGAGGTTGGAGGTGGAACTGGGGTAGGGGATGAAAGTGCTTGCCCAGGAGGGTGCCATGGAGCTGGGACTCAGAGTGCAAGCAGTTTCCAGGACTGGGATGGACACCCTGACCACCTGGAGGGGCAGAGAGCCTCTGGAGAAGGGTGATGACCTGGAGAGTATGGGAGTTGTGGGTCACACTGTGTGTGTGACTGCAGAAAGGCCTTGACACAGGGAGGGCATCAGGGTTGTGCTGGGTAAGGCAGCCAGTGTGTTCAGAAGCCTTGTGCCTCCAGCTGACACTAGTCCTTTGTCCTTTCCTAAAACACATGCTCAATTAAAGGAGGGTCCACAGGGCCCATGACTGACAGGAGACCCCTGAGTCTGGTGTGACTTAGAGTTTAGAGCAGAGATTGGGAAGCTAGAGACAATGTAGGTAGGTTTATGCTTCTGCTCTATTAGCTGTGACCAGCCTCAGGTGCTAGGCCCTCCCAGGGATCCTGTGCACCCCCATACCCACCAATCGTGGGTTCCTACTCACAGAGGCAGCTCCCCAGAATGGATACCAACACTTCAGCACCACCAGGTGCAGATTCTTGACAGTGGAGAGCAGGTAACCGCCAAATGCTAGGTGCAGGAAAACTATGGTGCTGTGAAAGGCCTGGGTGGGAAGCTGGGAGTGGCTAAGGGAGCAGCCAGGTAGCTGGCCCTGCATGTCCATCAGTGCCGGACCTAAGGATAGAGCAAGCTCCTTTCCCCACCTCTCAGGGGTCCTGGTATTCAAGGAAGGACCCCTCCCCATCACTCCCCAATAGGGTCTGCTGCAGGGACAGGTAAGGATTCAGAAGCCCCAGCCCGGGCTTCCATTCTGTGCTGGCTCTTCATGACTGGCATCTGGGGCCCTGTTCATGCCTCACAAGGCACCAGCCACTCTCATAGATGTTTACCTTTAGAGTGAGTGTAAACAGGGGAGCTGGAGCCTTCCCTTCCTCCTTCTCTCTCCAATGCCCTCCCTGGATGCTACCCCTCTACTCACACCCAACTCCTGAAGAAGGCCTCTTTTTTCCCAACACTTCTCCAGATGCCCGTTTGGAGCCAGATGTTGGGGCTGGATCACCTGTGCAGGCTGTGCAGGTGCCAGGTCCCACCATTGTGCCATGTCCCCAGCACGACAGCTGGGAATCACTGTGGGATCCTTGGTAGCCACTCTCTGGCAGGATGCCTGGCTGTGACAGAAAGAGAAAGGTCCAGTCAGAGCTCATCTTGTATCCGAGGCTTGAATGAGACCCTTGTCTGCCTTCACCTCTGCCCCCTGGGCTGGGCTTGCCAGGACAGTGGTGGCTCTGTCCAGGAGCCTTTGGCCTTGATTGGACCTGGACTAACATAGCACTGGAGGGTGGGGAATAGCTGCTGCCCTCATTCTCTCTGAGGTTGTAGGGAAACAAAGATCCCCTCCCCAACCACTGCACAGGAAGGCTGGCAGGAGCTGGGGCTGACGGGAGGCTTGGCAGGTGTGGGTACTTGGTAAACAGTCCCCACCCTCTGGCCTAGAATGAACCAACTGAAGGTAGAATGGTCCTGCACCTGTGGCGATGCCCATGCCTCCTGGGTTTAGGAGGATGGAGAAGAGAAGGTGACTTCTGCCCAGTGTTTACTCTGGCCCACACTGATCCTGGAAGTCAATATTTAACTCTGCCTACAACACAGCATTCGCAAGTTCATCCTTTGTTCCAAGCACTGATGGAAACATTTCATATGCATTCTCTGATTGTATGCATTATATGTATGATTCCCCAACCCTAGGAGGGAAACACTGTTCTCACTCCCACTTTGTAGATAAGGCTCAGAGAAGTTAAGCCATTTGCCTAAGGTTGCATAGCCAATAACTGGGCCTGGAAGCATGCCTGTGGACTTAAATCCTTCTTTTGCTGTTGGCTTAGCAAAAGTGAATGAAACTTCTGGATGCTTTAATAAGTATAAGAATGGGGTAGGGGGGAACTCCATAGAGGGCTAGAAGTACCGCTTGGGGTCATTGTACTGTGGGCACAAAGCTTGGGGCTGTGGGTAACTGGTGAGCAAAGCTGAGGACATTCTCAGGAATTGAGAGAGGAGGAAGGGGAAGTCAGCTGCTCCCTGGGACAGGATAGTGAGTAAATCCTTCAAAAAGAGAGGGTTGCTCTCGGATTCTTCTGTGTGTGTGTGTGTGTGTGTGTGTGTGTGTGTGCGCGTGCGCGTGTGTGTGCGTGCATAGTGCATGTTTCCATGTGTGCACGGGGGCCAGAGGAGGACATCAGGTTTCCTGCTCTATCACTCCCCCCCTTAATTCCCTTCAGGCAGGGCCTCTCACTGAAGCTGGACCCAGGCTGGTGGCCAGCAAGCCCCAGCTATGGTCCTGTCTCCCCCCACCTCCAGCACTGGGGTTACATGTAGGAGTGTAACCAGGCCTGGGTTTTAGGTATGTGATGGGGATTTGAACTCAGGCCCTCATGCTTGCACAGCAAGTGCTCTTACTTATTGCATGATCTCTCTAACCCTACTTTCAGATTCTTTGTCCTGGAAAAGGCAGAGGAGGACAGCCTTACTTGTGAACTCTGGAAATCCTGTTTGAACAGCCAAATTTAAGATGCAGGAACTGACTCCTTTCTACAGAGGAGGAGGGGTCCTTGGGGGAGTTGGTGAGGATGTCATAAATGGAGAGGAAAGCAAGGGTCCAGGTGGAGATCACTTGATGTCACCACCATATAAAGAAGTAGTTTTTACATGTTGACTGCCCTTCCTACCCAGGACCGTTACATAGAAGAGGAAACCAAGGTTCAGAGAGGTTCACTGCCTGGGCCAAGTTCACACACACATCAGGAAGTACCTGGGATTGGAACTACCTGGGCTTGACCCCATCAACCCTGCTTCTGGGCCTGGACTGCTGGTGGGACTTCCCTGATTGACATCTCCATTAACTTTCAGTGACAGTCCCTGGTTTAGTGGGGAGGCTGAGCCCAGAAAGATGGCTGTGTGGCTGGCTTTCCCATGAGCTGACCCAGCATGATTCGGCAACTGTTCCTCCATTTGTAGCTCTTTCCAGGTATTTTTGATGATTTTAAATGAAGGAAGCTGCTTAGGAGAAGAGTTGGGGTGTACTGGGTTGACCAGGCCATGCTGAGTATCTGATTGCTGGGGATGGGTGAGGGGTGTCTCCACCTGGCTGTCCACTTGTGAGAGTCATGGTAGTGGAAAGGGTTCAAATATCTGACAGACAACTGGATTCACGAGTACAAAGCATCCCTTCTCAAAGTACATTTGGTGGAACACTGGTCCTAACGGATCTACCTTAAAAGGGTTCCATAGTTAAGCACGTTTGGGAAAGCTAGCAAATCCCCTTCTTCCTCCTTTCCTTTTTTTTT